TTATAGTCTTCTATTATGGACTGTTGATGCTATGTACGTAGCGTGTGCGTCTGAATCGTTGTTGGAGGCGTGACGTAACGATACACACAGGCGATCGAGAGTGTGTGCGAAACATCGGGTTCTCCATCGAACCACCCTCACCTAAACATGAATAATCAAGGATATGTTCATGCATGAATCATGCATGTTTCATGCCTAAATAATAGAATATAATACCCTGCCAAGACAGGTATTTTTGTGACTGTTTTGCTCATATCATGATTTATGCAATGAATTATTATGCATAAATCTTCATGTACCAAAAGTGAAACCGTTTTCGTCCAAGAAACTCAGGGACTGCAAAATTAAAATTAATGGATGATACATAAACAGTATATTCTCTGGAACCTGCCACCCATAAAATAACCTATGGACCACGTCAGCGTGCGAAATTAACGGGAGTCCGGAGTCAAATACTCCCTGATTTACTGTCGGACTCCCTGATTTGACCTATGCAGACAGTCCGTGTGACTCCCTGAAAATTCTGCGATACTAACTAGTTCGTTCCGGAGCACGGCCTAGCGGAATTACCGTATTTTTTCAGCTAATGTCCGAAGAAAATTTGGCAGACGTGCAACTGCATGAATATTAAAAATAAGCACATGCGTTATTGTTAATATCTTTAATTTTGAACATTAGACTGCGGACTCCATCATTTTTGCTGCGGACTCCCTCTTTTTGAGGGTAGGGATCGAGTCCGTTGGACTCCCGTGTTCAAAAGTTAATTTCTAGCCCTGTTATAATGCGCCATAAAAATTCCTAAACATGAACAGGACATGTCCTTTAATTATTATGCATGAAACATGACATGTCCTTTAATTATTATGCATGAAACATGACATGTTTTATTCCCAAGAGGGCAGCCCGGCACTGTACCGCTGACGCCGGCGGGTACCGGTACTGGTACTGATTGTACCGGACTGTAAGTGCCGCACGATTATAGCCGTGATGATTACCGCCTAAACGGCAAGCAGTTAAATCGTCAACGTTTTTAATTGCGTTGCCGTTGTCGGCGAGAGAGCGAAGGCAGGGAGCGAGCGTCAATTAAGCTGGACATTGCAGCATCATCGTCGCCGTGGCAACGCGACGGCCGCGACTCGTTAATGCGGAAAGTAACGACGCGCGGCAGCGCCGTCGGTAGAAAAAACACGGCAGTTTCGCAGTGGCGAAAAAACGCGATTCCGGACAAAATGTAAACTTTTCGTGCTTCCTGTAGCGATTGGCCTGTGGTGCAAATCTCAGATGCCGGTATAGTAGCAAGCTGTGTCGGCTCTGGCGTGTGGTCACGCCGTGTTTCTATTGGCTGTATATACGACAAGTAAAGCTAGGTGAGCACTAGCTTGACGAGGCTGTGCGACTGATTGCCTATACATCCTGTAATAAAAGGTGATGTCTTGTAATACAAAGTGATTAGCAAGACCGTTTCTTGGAGCCAGGTGACCACGTGACGCACGTTTTCGTTTTTCGAGGCGTTCCTCAATCGAGGAAGAAATGCTGGCTAATCATTGCTGGCTAATCGTTGCTGGCTAATCGTTGCTGGCTAATCGTTGCTGGCCAAAACTCTCGTCAGACTTGGCATTCTGCTTTATGAGACGGCCATAGAACACTAGTAAATTATAACCTAATGAACACACCGCTGTTGACTTGGTTGACAATTAAGGTATGCTTGGGAAATGTCAGCCGTTGTAACAAGGCGCGAAAACGACGAATAGGCCCCTAAAACGTCGCAGATCTCGTATATAGTTCTTATTAGATTTCTCTACGTCTTCTCGTTGTCACACGTAAAATGCGCTTTCCTGCGAGCCGTGCATCATTGCTGCCGTTGCCGTGGTTATAAGCCGCATGCACGTCTGTAATTACGTGCAAACACGTTGCCATGTTTGCGCATCCGGCGCATCTGGAGCGAGAGCTTAATGCGCCAATTTCTTCTCAATATATGCCGTCTTTCGAGAAAACGGCGACAATCTGATTTGCTGCGTTCGTCCGGGGATTAGGGTCGCGTGGCCACTGACTGCATGAATAGCGCCGTGGTTTGACCAGTCGGCTGCCCACACGCAGCTGTATCCGCCTAAATGTGCGGGTTGGGTAACCGCCACGATTCTCCCGAGCGTGGCCATCAATATCACATTACGTAAGCAAAGTGACGCGGCATGTTTAGTTGTCATGGCGACCGTTTGCGTCGCGTCCGACTGTTTTTTGAGCTGGGGGCAGTTTGCGAGAGTCTGTGGCGCAAGTCTGTGGCGCAAGTCTGGTGCTCTCAGCTGTTCAGTTATAAATTACCATCCTTCTCGCTGCATCCGCGCGGTAGTCAGCGCGTAAACTGTATCAGCCTTCCGCTTCGTATGATCGAGCGTGCCGCGGGAGATGGCTTCGTCATATCTCGACAAAGATGGTGATGGCACGGTAGATTAGGAAGGCGGGCGGAGAGGCCGAGCTCGCGGCGAGAGTTGATTGCCTCTGACGTGTCATTGTTGGTCGAGTCGTGCGTGCGACGCGATGCGGATAATTTCGAATTACAGGTGGGTACAGGTGTGTCTCCCCGCTCGATGCACGGCTCGTAGCTGTAGACACGCTGCTTGTATGAGGAACTGATGTTGCGTGACGAAGGCTGGAATTCACGAGTAGGTCACGCGAAAACATTGCGTGAGACTGCCCTCTGGGATATTAATAATAATATTGAGCGAGCTAAGTACGTCCGATAATTGAATCAGCGCGGCTGCACTATAACCCCTGGATCTACACCTTCACTACTTGGTACTTAGCCTGTCACTGTCAGTCCATTTGTGATACTTAGATGGAATTCAACCTATTGCTCTACATTTTTCCCAAGCACTGGCTGGGTTGTAACTCTGTCATGCAGTATACCATGATGGTAATTTAAATTTTACACTGTTATTCACGTTGATCACTGTTATTCACTCTGATCACTGTTATTCACTCTGATCACTGTTATTCACTCTGATCACTGTTATTCACTCTGATCACTGTTATTCACTATGATCACTGGTGTTCACACTGAGCGCTGTGTTTAATTGATTTTGTGTCTCTAATTGGTGTAACGGTATAACTGATATTGCAACTATATGTTTAAAACATTATTGCGTGGACAGACAGCATTAGTCTAACAGAGTCAGTGTATATTGACCGTTCGTTACTGTATTTTCATAACAGGTTTTATTAGTTTGTATATATATCTAAATGCCATTAAAGTTGTTACGCATTGTTACATTGGAGACAGGGTGTTATGCATATATTATCAGAATATCAGGAGTAGATAATAGAAGATCTTCTATTATCTACTCCTGATATCATGTTGTTCTGCGTGTTAATGTTTTTACGTGTTGTTAGGTTGGAGACAGGGTGCTATGCATGAAGGACTTTGGACTGTGGACAGAGCTAGTGGCGATACGCGAGGAACAATGTTTCGCGATGCCCGATGGCATGTCTTTCGAAGAGGGTGCTGCTCTGCCTGTCAACTATGTAACCGCCTATCTCATGCTGTTTGAGTTTGGAAACCTGAAACGCGGCAAGAGTGTGTTGATACACATGGCTGCTGGTAGGTACCTGGGTGCCTGCAGGGGGTTCGGGCGACTAAATCGGCGGCGACTGACTGGACACACTAGGCGATTTTCACCGCAATTAAGTCGCCCAATTTAGTCGCCCAATTTAATTGCCTCATGTGTCCGGCCCTTAACGTAGTTACTTGACTCGGCGCGTGTCAGTAATAAATAACTGCTTCGATGTGCCGCAGTGATATATTACTACATCAATGTGGTTTGAACAGTAATCTGTGACTGTTTCAATGTGTCTTAGTGACATAGAACTGCCTTGGTGTGTCTGAATGACATATAGGTATTTTGATGTACGTCGATAAGAAACGCATGTAGTAGCATCAGTTTGCCTCAATAACAATTAACATATAGGACCTGAACTATCAGCGTTTGATAACAGTCTGATAGACTTATAACAGCTTACTAGTATATGCCTAAGTAATGTTTTAATGCTATCAAGAGTCCATAATAGAAAATTCTATTCTTCTATATATTATATTCTTAATATATATATATATATATTTATTATAAGTATATATATATATATATATACTTATATATATATATAATTATAGTCTTCTATTATGGACTGTTGATGCTATGTACCTACGTAGCGTGTGCGTCTGAATCGTTGTTGGAGGCGTGACGTAACGATACACACAGGCGAGAGTGTGTGCGAAACATCGGGTTCTCCATCGAACCACCCTCACCAAAACATGAATATAATCAAGAATATGTACATGCATGAATCATGCATGTTTCATGCCTAAATAATAGAATATCATACCCTGCCAAGACAGGTGTTTTTGCACATTACTGTTTTGCACATAAAACGTGAATTAATTATTATGCATAAATCTTCATGTACCAAAAGTGAAACCGTTTTCGTCCAAGAAACTCAGGGACTACAAAATGAAAATTAATGGATAATACATAAACAGTATATTCTCTGGAACCTGCCACCTATGAAATAATCTATGGACCGCGCCAGGGTGCGAAATTAACGGGAGTCCGGAGTCAAATACTCTCTGATTTACTGTCGGACTCCTTGATTTGACATATGCAGGAGTCCGTGTGACTCCCTGAAAATTCTGCGATACTGACTAGTTCGTTCCGGAGCACGGCCTAGCGGAATTACCGTATTTTTTCAGCTAATGTCCGAAGAAAATTTGGCAGACGTGCAACTGCATGAATCTTAAAAATCAAACATATATTTTCACATAAAAAATTACACCTATAATTATCAAGAGTATATAATGGGAGTTCTCCCATATATACTCTTCGTTTCTATAATGTACGTCGATGGTTGCTCAATTAAAACTGACTTCTTCTCACTCACTCATTTGTGTCCTTTCTTGTGGTGAGCTACAGTGTCATTGACACTTTCATTGATGAGGCCAAAACAAAATATAGGTGTGGTTACCGTGTCATGCCGGAAAAAAATAGGGTAGGTAGGTAGGGAAAACATTTGATTTTATTGAAACATTTGATTTACGAACCATGTCTGAAGGATGTGCGTTGTGCCTTTTGAAGCAGGAACTGTCCAATTCATATATTTGTTTTTTGTTTTTTTTATTAAAATTTTTTTTTTTTTACTTTAAAGAAAATTGACAATAAAATGTTTAGGGTCGCTGGGAATAAATAGGGTCGGTTGGGAAACGGTAACCACACCTATATTTTGTTTTGGCCTGAGTGTAATTATGTTGCTATGAACATCTGTCCGCAGTAATTGATCGTCACCGCCGCTTGCAGCGTTATGTTGCTAGCAAGCATGATTTGTAGACATCTATACTGTTTCATGTAATGTTGATGTTTTACATAAATTTACATGCTGTTTTATGATACATCGATAATATTTTCAAAAACGTTGATGTCGTATAATTTATGATATACATCGATGCTATTTCATACTAGAGTAATAATGTTTTCGATTACATCTATGCTATTGCTATTTGCACATCTATGCTATTGCTATTCGACACATCTATGCTATTGATGCCAATGAATGATACATTGGTAATGTTGTCTAATACATTAATGCTGTTTTATGATACATTGATGCTATTTTATGATATTTTATGCTATTTAATGATACATCCAGGCTATTTTATGATACACTGGGCAATGCTGATGTAGGCCCGTAGGGAAGCAGGGTGCGACGGGTGCGCCCGCACCCCCCACAGGCTGCGGAGGTCCACTTTTTTGCGGGAAAAATCCATTTTGAAGTTTAAAAATTTGAGAAATGTCCACGTTTTTAGGTTTGCTTTTGGCTGCCTGTTTTCATATTATACTGTCAAATTGTACTTCAAAACGCGCGAAATGCAGTCTCAGACAACCTAATTTTCAAAATTTCCCGGGGGCATGCACCCGGACCTTCTTAGTGACTGGCGCCTCAGGCGCTCGTTAGGTCCGTATACTCGTTGCATCGCACTCTCCCGTAAAAAAACCTGCCTACGGGCATGTGATATATGATACATCAATGATATATTGGTGGTATTTTATAATACACTGACACTGTTTTTCGATACATCTATTTAAGGTACAGTTTAATGATACAGCAATGACATTTTTCCGCACACAGGTGTAGATATTGTCCTCGATCCTCTATCCGGGACAGATGCGGTCAAGGGATTCCAGCTTCTGAAGCCCATGGGCAAGATCATTCACTTTGGTAAGCAGGTGCCGTGTAGGTGCGCGGGGGAACGCGTGCCACGCACGTCCAGCCGCGGACGATGTATACCCCTGCGCTCATCCCCCGCGTTCGACGTTCACTTGGCCAAGATGGCGGACAATGCTCGCGAACGTCATCGCTTGGAATGAGGTCTCGGGTTCGCGAGCCGTGTTTGCTTTGTGGGTACACAGTATGTTGTCGCTAGCATTACTGGGTGAATGTGCTCAAACAGCCCCCAAAGCCTACGTGACAGTGTCAACATTGATGAGGCTATTCCTGCGAGTGGTCTTCTTAGCAGTAACTTGACCCAGCGTGCGGCGCCGAGGTAGTGACATCAACCATCAACTTCACAGCTATAGGATTTTTCTGTTATTGATTGGAATCAGCTGCTCTCGCGGACCCAGCTGTACGTGACATATGTGGTTTAAAGTTCAACTATAATTATATATAACCATTATAATTATATACATAATGATAATATGTGTTTGTGCGTGCGTGCGTGCGTGCGTGCGTGTGTATAATTGCATTTGCAGAAAGTAATTTCCGTAGGATTTGCGTATCAATTTCATAGATTATTTTCAGTTCTATGCAAGGAAGGCTAGCAATTTTCAACCCACGTCGCATGTAAGCTTTTAATGGATTTTGAACTTTTTATGCGTAGATTTAATTTTGTTAACTTAATTGGCAATTCATCCTTAAGTCATCCTTCCACAGATATTACCGATATTACCGAAAGCATCGGCAGACTATTACAGTACGCACAAACCATGCAATCCCGTTGTTAGTTTTTAGCTCACCTTGGCATCGTCAAGCTGAGCTATTGCCATGGGTCGTCGTCCGTCGTACGTCCGTCCGTCCGTCAACATTTGGCTACGGTCTACGATAACTTGATAACCGTTTGACCCATATGTTTGACATTGGGTATAATTGTTACTGCTATGCTCCCATATTGAACGTTCTATTTTGGAGCACGCGCCAGTCGACGTACTTTCGAGCCACAGCAATTTTTTGGCAAAAATGGGAATTGCCATTAGTCAGTTCAGGTTCAACGGATTTTGCTCATTTTTGGTATGTGAATGAATAAGGGCTAAAGTTTTTGATATTTAAAAAAAAAATATGCAAATTAAGTAGGTTTTGGCAATTATATAGCATATTATATAG